CCCGCCTACCAATAGCCGCTAGTTCATGGGCAGGAACATTACATAGGCGTGGGCAGTATGTGACTTTCCACTCAATAAAACCCATTTGGAGAAGGTATTTGATCTCACGAAAGAGGGTGCCCAGGTTGGACCGATCTAGTGTAGTTGTCGTGACAGCCTGCTGGACTCCGGTGCAGTCAGTTTCAAAAACAACCCGTCCCATTCCATGGTCTTCTGCTAGCTTCATTGCATACATGAGGGCACACGCCTCGGCATGCAGGGCTTCGCTCATGTGTGCAAGTTTTCCTGCTGCCGCGAAGATCACCCCTCCTGAATGGTCACGGGCGATGCAGCCCCAGCCTGCGTGCCTGGACTCCGGGTCGAAAGATCCATCAAAATTTATCTTGACAACATCCTTGGCTGGGCAAGTCCAAATGGGCTTTGGTTTTGCGTTGCTCCTTCCTTGCTCCCCAAAGAACATACGCCATTCCGCGATGTGTTTTGCCAGCGTGAAACCAAACTCCTGGGTCGAGGCTCTATGCGCGTTGTGGTTTGCCTTGTTCCTTTCCGTCCACCACATCCATAGGAGGCAGATCGTATGTAGCTTCTCATCCTTAGGCATAGACACAATGAGGTTAAGAAATTGGCGCGGTGACTGACATGATAGCAGTTTCTGCCTACTCTGCTCCAGCCCGCAAGCCCTCCACATCTTCTTCACCTCCTTACAACGCAGAAAGAGGTGTCCTCCATCTTCCTGTAATCTGTGGCAAACCACACAGTTTGTTTCCAGCTGGACGCCGATCCGTTCCACATTCCTCAACAGAGGGTGGCTGTTATGGGCAAGTCTCCACATTAAATGATGTACTTTCCCCGGACAATTGACCTTCCAGAGCTTCTGCCACATCTTCCTCTCCTCATTTTCCCCGGACGAGCTTTCCCCACGCGGTCGTGGCCGTTGTCTATGGAGCATGTCAGTATAAACCCGATAGGCCAATCTGACCGAGAACAAATCCTTATTGTCAAATTGCCAGGCCACAAAATCCTCATGATGTTCAAAAATCGGGATCTGCAGAATCACTGCCGCGTCCTCCTGACTGAAAGTCTGCTGCACTAACTGCTCATCCCATGTGTGCGTGGCTGGGTCTATCAGTTCCGAGACCCTCGTCAGCAGGTTTGCACCCTGTGGAGTGCGCGGGAAGCGTACTGGTCCCGACGGCAGCCATGGATCATGCCACATGCGAATCTGCTGTCCGTCCCCCACTCTCCAAACCATACCTTCTCTGACTACTTGGATCCCCTGCAAGATACTCCGCCATACATAGCTGATTCCGGGTGTTGGTATCGCCGATAGAAGGTCGCCATTGGGGTAATACTTGGCACATAGGACTCGAGCACATAGAGATTCAGGGGCTTGTAGGAGGCGCAAGACTTGATGGGCAAGCATGGCAATGTTGAAAGCGTGTAGGTCCCGGAAACCAAGGCCACCATGCTCTTTTGGTAAGGTCATTCTCTCCCAGCCCACCCAGTGGTGTTTATGTTCATCATCTTGGTTTGCCCACCAGAACCGGCATATCATAGCGCAGATATCATCGCAAAGGCCCTTCGTCAGATCAAAGCAGGCCATGGCATACGTGGGGATAGCTTGGGCCACTGTTTTGATCAAAATCTCCTTCCCCTTCTTTGATAAGAGCCTAATCTTGTACCCTTGGAGTAGCTCCCAGATTTTGTCCCGGATGTACTCGAAGCATAACTGCCGGGATCTACCCACGTAACTAGGGAGGCCTAGATACTTCCCTTGCATTCCTTCTCCTCTCAGGCCCAAACTGTGGAGCAACACTTGTTTCTTCTGGACCTGAGTGTTCTTGCTGAACTGTATTGCCGATTTGTCCCGGTTGATCGTTTGACCCGATCCCCTTTCATAAATCTCTAGGATCTCATTTATGGTGGCCATACTCTCCTCCGTAGCCTCCATGAGAAGGAGTGAGTCGTCAGCAAAGAGCAGGTGGGTTATGGACGGTGCAGTAGGTGCAATCCTTATACCCCGAAGCCGGCCCAACTCCTCCGCCCGGTTGATCAAAGACGAGAGCCCTTCTGCACAAATCAGAGAGAGATACGGCGAGGCCGGATCTCCTTGCCTCAACCCCCGCCCCGGAATCACCGTGTCCATACAACCATCATTGATCTTGAAACGGTATTGAACAGTGGTCATGCACTTGCAGATGTGGGCCACAAACGCCGGTGCAAACCCGAGCTGGAGCATGATCTTCTCCAGGAATGCCCACTCCACACGATCATAAGCTTTGCTCATATCCAGTTTCAAAGCTGCAAAGCGAGTGCTGCCCGTCCTCTTTCACCTCAAAAAGTGGGTCATTTCATATGCCAAGATAGTATTGTCCGAGATCAGCCTTCCTGGGACGAAAGCACTTTGGTTGGGTGATATTATTTCACTTAGGATACTCTTCAGACGGTTGGCTAGCACCTTGGACACCAGTTTATACACAACGTTACAAAGGCTAATCGGGCGTAGATCCTTTAATCTCTCTGGGTTCTGAACCTTTGGGATCAACACCACTAGGGTGTCATTCCATCCCTCGGGTATACTGCCGCCCTGTAACACGTGCAAAACCTCGCGAACAACATCCTCCCCAATCAAATGCTAGTAGTGTTTATAGAAGATGGCCGGAAGGCCGTCCATCCCCGGGGCTTTAAGATCGCCAATACTATCCAGCGCATCCTTTACTTCTTCTGCCGTGAAGTCAGCAAGGAGGTGATCATTCATCTGTTGCATAACTTTGGGGGCAATGTTGTTCAAAATTTCCGCCATTTCCGAACCTGCCACGGGGGTAAACAAGTTAGAGAAATAGTTAGTAACGAGGGCCTTTAAGCCCTCCTCCCCTGACACCTCCACGCCATCCTCCCTCTTCAACATGTGGATCGTATTCTTTTTCTTTCTCTCCGACGCAAAGGCCTGGAAATACTTTGTATTTCGGTCCCCTTTTGAAAGCCCGCCGCATGAGCTCTCTGACGGTAAACCAGATCGAGCTGATCCTCCAGCTTTTCCAATCTATATTTCACTGTCAGCTCCCTTCTAATTTGGGCTTGTGAGATTGGTTGGCGCCGAACGTTCTCAAGTTCGTCCTTCAGTTTCCTGGCCCTCTTCTGGAGATCTCCCAGCACGTCACGGCTCCATGTGTGGAGGGCTTTATTAACGGCTCCCAGTTTGCTCGCCACTGACGGTCCCTGTGCCTCTTCCCACGCCTTCCGCACGAGCCCATCACATCCCTCCTCAAGAAGCCAACGCGCTTCGAACCGTTTTGCCTGTGGACCGCACTATCTTCCCCCCATTCTCCTCGTGCCATGGAGCCACAACACCACGGGTCTGTGTGATCAGAGTGGTGCGGATCCCCATTCACCACTTTGTAGTACGGGAAACGAGCGCACCATGACGGCGAGGCCACAACCCTATCCAGCCTCTCCCGAATATACCCATCAACACGGAAGTTATTATTTCGCCAAGTAAAAACATCACCCTCAAAGCCAAGGTCATTGAGATTACATGTTTGTAAAGCACCACGGAAATTCTACATTAGGGAGTGCGCTCTAGGGACCCCTCCTTGTTTCTCATGGTTGAACAAAATCTCATTAAAATCTCCAACGCAGACCCAGGGCAGGTTAGATTGATGGTTTAGAGTTCTCATGAGCCGCCAAGTCTCCACCTTCTTCTCCATACGTGGTTCTCCATAGATACCCGTGAGCCGCCATTTGAAACCATCCTCCTCCTGAATAATGACATCAATGTGCATCCTCCCCATCCACCTGAGTGTCACATCAATCCCCTTCTTCCAGAACAATGCTAGGCCACCACTCTTCCCCACACAATCCTTAACTAAAAGATTTTGCATCCCCAACCGACCATGAAACTTTCCCATTCTCCTCTTATCCAGGTGGGTTTCAGACAGAAAAAGAATGTCGGGATCCTCCTTCTAGAGAGCCAGAAGACCACGAACTGCCGGGCCATTTCCCAAACCCCGACAGTTCCAGGCTATAGTCTTCATTGCTGCCCGCCAGGCTGTACCTACAGCCCGGCGTTCACGACATCATGTGATACACTCTCTTCCATCCCCACCTTCTTAGACTTCTTCCTACCCTCCTCCTGTTCACCCATATCCTCCATCGTTGGCAAGCCTCTCTTCCCTCCTAACACGTTGACAAAGTCACCGGTTCCTTCGGGTAGCATCCTCCCCTTCACACGTTTGAAAGTGCCTCTGCCCCCCTTGCCCCCTTCCTCCCTGCTTCTTTCACTAGTTTACACCACCCCAACATTGGCAGCAGAGCTACTCACGTCGATCTGCATGGCCATATGCATGGCCTCGGTTTCCATGTCCTGTGCAAAGATTCCCTCAGCCTCAATCGCCGTACCAGTGACTTGCTGTGGTCGGGGCCCTCCCGATGGTGCAAGCTGACCCGGCTGGTCCCCCGCCTTCACCTGCACAGTTGGTTGACTCAGATCCTCCGCACACCCCTCCCCATCCCCTCCTCCCCGGTCCCCACCACCTTTCCACGTGGAACCAATTGCCCCGTGCCTACCCCAACCTCCATCTTCTCCTTCTCCTTATCCACAGTCTTTCCCTGATCAAACTCACATGCGGACTGCACTCCAGCTTCATCAAAAACGAGTTTCTTCTTTGAAACGCCCCTGCTCCCCCTTCCACTTGCTTTAGAGGGCTCGTGACCTCTTGATCTCGCTCTTCCTCCTCCTCCCTTGCAGCCCCACTTGGTTTGTTTCGCCAGGATGGTGCATCACTCCCCGAAGACGCTTTCCCCTTCCAAGACCCTGTACTCCTCGACCCCTGTCCTCTTCCCGCATAGCTTTGGCGTACCCCCACCCTTCTCTTGTCCATACATGCTCGCAACCATGGCCCAAACTGCTCCCTCTTCCCCCTCTGCACCTGGACCTTGCAAAACTTGTCAACATGACCAAGGAAACCACACTTGTAGCAAAGACCCGGCAGGTATTCGTACTAGAATGGGCACCAATTCCTATCCTCCTCCCCCTCTTGCTCTTTTCCACTCGTGATCAGATTCTGTTCACCCTCTTCCTCCTCCAAGGTAAACCCCCGCATCAGTGGAACCGTGATTTTCATCCTCACCTTCATCCACAGGTACTTGCCTACCGCTCCTCCATCTGCCTGAGTGTCGACTTCCAACACTTCACCAATCTCAGCCTCAACGGCTTCTCCCACATCTCGGGTCATCAGTCCCAAAGGGAGGCGCAGCACACGTACCCAGATCGGGATAGTATCGAAGTTGTAATCCTCAATGCGCTTCCTGGGAACATAGTCCTCCATTACCAGCAAATCATTCCCGAATTCCCACGGTCCCCCATCCAGCGCCATTCTCTTCCCCGACTCCCGCCCGAAGGTGAAGTGGAAGATGTTCTCCCCAACCTCCTTACAAGCCACACCCTTTATGGGGCACCAGATCCGACCCAGCGTCTCCGCCATCGCCTCAACGAACACCGGTTTCTCCGACAATAGCTGCGCCATCGCCTGGGGTTCCACTACTCCTGCCTTCCCCGATCCCGTCCAACCGATCTTGATCCCCTTCTTCTCCTTCTCTGACAAGCGCAAGTCCTTCAGCAAACTCTCAACCTTCTCCATCTGGTCCTCCGTCTCCTTTTCCGTCGTAACCAAACGGGCAACGAAAACTAGATTAAGGTGGTGTACGATCACACGCCCTAGCAACGCGCGAAAGGCTTTTGGTGGTGGGCGGGAGAACGATGGGCGGCCGCGGCACGCCGGCGGCCGCCGTTGGGGCGGGGTTTGCAGGGGTGAGGGCCGGCTGCGAGCGTGATGCACCGCCGGAAACCCTAGATCGCCACACGGTCGCCAGAGAGGGACAAAACCGTCACACGCGGGACGGACTCTGACAGAAATAATCCCCTCGGCCTTATAGCCTTACAAGTACGTAAAAAGAGAGAAAGGCGCCTGACACTGGCAAAAAACAAAAAGGTAAATTCAAACTACTACAGGTGAATGAGCGGTAGCCGTCAGATTTAAGATCTACGATTGCTGTTGGAGATCGAGGCAGTTCCCAACTGACCGTCAGATTGAAGATGGACGTCGCTCCTTGCATCCAGCACTACTGAACAGGACGCTTCGACAATTTCAGAGAAACAGAACAGATTCAGACTAACTGGCTTGACTATATCTTCAGAAACGCTCCCTCCCTCAGAGCTGCCTCTTTTTTTCTCCTCCTTACCACGATTTGGCTTGCTAGTGGTCCCATCAAGCAGTGTGACACTGTAGCACGCTTGAGCTCCAGCTTGCCCTCAAGCCGGAGCATCCGGAAAGCGTTGCTGCAACGTGGAGTGGTCCTCCCAAGTGGCCATTGTTGCAGGTAACGGGGTCCATCTCACCAGCACCTGAAGGAGAGGCACATTGTCCCTTTTGTCCAGCCGACGCTCCGGAATCAGTTCCGGTTCCACCAGCAGGCAATCCAAGGTGAGGCTAGGAGGTAAATCCGCAAAAACAGGTCTATGATCTGCCAAGTTCAGTTTTGTAAGCCAATTGACCAACCTTGGAGAGGATCTTGTATGGCCCAAAATACTTAAAGGCCAGCTTGGGGAAGGCCTGCTAATGACAGAATGCTGAGCATAGGGCTGGAGTTCAAGGAACACTTGGTCACCTTCCTGGAACTCTCAATGTTGAAGTAGAACAGAGTGAGCTGCTATGTCTTGCAGCAGAGCACCAACTTCAGTTCTATCATCAGTAGGAGAACCAGGTAGAAAACCGGCAGTAGGATCTCTACCATATAAGGCCTTGAAAGGGGAGCCAGCCAGTGAGGAATGGTGAGAAGAGTTATACCAAAACTCAGCCATGTGCAGCCACGAAGACCATTTATGAGTGGGAGTGGCATTGGCTGCAAGCCGCAAATACATCTCAAGACTCTGAATGACTCGCCGTACTGAGTGCTAACCGAGTATCATGTCTTTTGAACAAATCTTGGCAAAATGTACTTACAAAATCTTAATGTCTTTTGAACAAATCTGGACAAAATGTACTTACAAAATCTTATCTCTATCTGATACTATTGATATGGGCATACCATGTAAGCTGACTATACCAAAGAATATTTGAGATACTGTAGCAGCAGTTTATGGATGTTTCAGAGGAAAGAACTGTGCACGTTTTGTATATCTGTTCACCAGGACGAAAAGGACTGAATGGCCATTGGATTTAGCAAACCTTCTATAAAATCCAGAGAGGTCTTGCCAGGGACCCGTGGTACTGGCAGTGGCTGGACAAGGCCAGGTGTCCAGCAGTGTTCATGTTTAGCCTGCACTGTTGTACAAATTCAGTGGCATCCCTTTTGAACCCAGACCAAGCAAATAGTTTGTGAATTTGTTGAAATATTGTTTGAATGCCTGAGTGGCCTCGCAGGGCAGATGCATGAAAAGCTCGGATCAGTTTAGTCTGCAAACCTGCATTAGCACCAACCCATATCTTGCCCTCTTTCCGAATAATACCATCCACTACATAAAATCCATCGTCATCACTACTGTGCAAAGCCAACTGCTGAAGCGCCTTCTATCCAGAGCTGTCAGTTGCATAGGAATTCAGTACCTCGTGTAACCACAGAAATGGCCTGTGTAAATCCAACTGTTGGGCCACACGAGAGAGTCCATCAGTTGCTTTGTTGTCCGCTACTTTTTTGTATTGGACCTGATACCACAGTCCTATAAGCTTAGTCATAGCCTTCTTGTAAGTCCGAAACGAGAGACCGATCAGTCAGACGGCATAAACTCTTATGATAAGTCTGATGACAAATAGTCCTCTGACCAAATAGAATCTCCATTTATCTAAGGCCTTGATAGATAGATAGTTTTTGATTTTGCATCCCTAAGGCCTTGCTATAATAAGCAATTGGGTGACCCTCTTGAGAGACAACTGCACTCACTCCTATAGTCCTACAGCACAAATATGTTTCAGTGACACTTTTTGGTGAAGTCTGGTAGGGCAAGCACAGGTGTAGATGCCATTGCCTTTTTGAGCAGACCAAAAGCTTATTGTGTAGCAGCCGTCCAGATGAAAGGCTTGTTCTTTTGTAACAGCAAGGTGAGAGGTTTGGCCCAGAGGCCATATCCATGGATAAACTTCCTGTAATAGCCTGTTAATCCCAAATCCCTTTCAATTGAGTCACATTTGCAGGGGTGTGCGTGAGCATTGCTGCAGTTCTTTTTGGATCAGTGATTACACCCTGGTGAGAAATGATGTAACAGATCTAGTGAAGAGGAGCAGGGATCATAAAAGAGACAAGACCTGGGGGAGTAGAAGAAAGAAACTAATTTCTTCATTGATAATTTTGATTGGTTACAACCCCCAGGTGTAACCATGCCCACTCACACTGACACCGGTACCCCACCCCAACAACTCCAGACCTCGTCAACCAGGCAGAGACGCCTTTCCCATTCTCGTTTTCTTCTCAGCTGTCGAAGCCAGCTTCAGGCTTGGCAGTGCTGCACGTTTCTTCAGTTTCGTCAGGTCTACCTTCAGAAACGCTACTTCAGAGTTGCCTCCTTTCTCCTCCTCCTTACCACGATCTGGCACGCTGGTGCTCCTATCCAGCAGTGTGGCATAAGGCTTCACTTCCGTGCCCCAAATTGCTGCCCGTGGAGGTCTTCAACAGTTTTATCACTGTAGGAAAAACTCTGAAGTTCTGTCTCATTATCTGGTTACATTCAGTTTACGGTCTGAAGTTCTGTACAGCATGGATGCCAAGAGGATTTCTGTAGCCGTTTTTTTACCTTTTGTCTTCAGCACTTTATATTTTTTGTTGAAATATATTTAACAGAGTTAATAATTGCAGAAAATCGGTAACACCGGACTCAGTTATGATTAAGAGGCATCTGTGTGTGATTCTCCCTGCAGGTATTATTTATCGGTACCTCAATTTTTTTCCCTACCATATTTGTATGTATCTCATGCTATTACTGATGCTTTTAGCCTTCTACATTTTGGGGGCTTCTTCTTATATATTGTCTGAAGCACATGATGGTGGCTTCTTGCCACAAAAGGGTCACATGAAGAAACACACAATGCAGCAGTGGATTTAATAGTTCAAGACCATATGAAACTGACATGTCCTATGAACTGTGCTTGGAAAGCAAGGCGCGAAACCAGCAGTTCTTTTCGAATGGCAAAAGACCTTCATCTGTTGTTGGACTTCCTAGAAAACACATCCGCACAGCCACCAGACAACGAGTTGTAAAGCCCATTACCTGCTCGTGTTGGTGGAACTCCCCAAGTCACATGTAAAACAGATGTTTCAAGTCGCGACACAAACTCTGTATATTCTCCATTTTTTTTCTTTTTGGTGTGCAACTGGATATCGTATGACAACGTGAGTAGCTGAAGTTTGTCTCTTTTGTAGGTTGAGCTGCCATGCATAATTCTAAACTTGCAAGCATCATAGATTCATATATAGTGTATTGGTTCACCAACGCATGCTGCAGATGATTTTATTTTTTTGTGACGCTTTACTGAAATGTTATATGCTTTTGGCAGTTGATGATGCCAGCCAGGGTTGTCATGCAAACGGGATGCCACTGTGAAATCCGGACCCGAGGTGAGGAGAAAGGAGGCAGGAAAGTTAAATAAATTGATAGGGGCCGGTGACAATGGTGGACAGAGCAAGCACCGGAGCAGGAGCACAATATAGGGATTGAGCATGAATGGATGATGAGGAGGAGGAGATTTACAAGCAAAGAAGATGAGGAGTTGGTGGGCACCGGCACGGCGGAGATAAGTCAGGTGACAAATGTTGGAGTGAAGATGATGATCAGCTGAGAGAGAGAGAGAGAGAGAGAGAGAGAGAGAGAGAGAGAGAGAGAGAGACGCAGCATTTCATTTCGTTCTGTCGACCACTCACCGTGGTTCCCAAACTGGCAACCTGACTGAATCGAACGTAGTATTGGGTTCTGCTTGACAGCTTTGTTACGCCAACCACCGCGCTTACAGGCGTGTTTGTGTCAGACACGAGGTGTTCTGACGAACAACATTCAGAAATTAGCACTTTCTTATTACTTTCAGAGGAAGGATTCGATAGCTGGAGCTGGTTCCAAGAGGAACTGAGCCAACCAGGAACACCGGCGGCGAAAGGGGGAAACCCTAATAATCCAGAATGATCTACAAGTCTCTAGGCCCCTGCCTTGTATAGCCTTACAAGTTACAACTGAGAAGAAAAAAAGATAAAAGGAAAACAAAGTGGGTGAGCCTTTTGCCGGAAGAAGAACAGCGGCGTCCCGAGATCAACGATAACTGGAGACTTGGCGCGCTTACTTGCTGGTTCAAACTTAACTGAATTTTTCGACAGAGTGTTGAATTCTTTAGGTAGATGCAGTATGGACCAAGGAGCAGGTGGCCGGGTCTGACTTTTATTTTATTTTATTTCAGGCCATGCCAGCGCTCCATCTCGGCTGCTGCTCGCTATTCTCTCAGACTCAGCCCATCCATGTTGCCTACATGCTGATCCGGCCTAACAGACCCTAAAACTCTTCAAGCCTATGTAGCAGATCTGAACCTGCAAAGCATACACATTGCTTCGGATTGTGAAGGGGGTGATCAAGGACATAAAGCATGATTCTGCTGGACTACATGGC